GTGATGAGAATGAGAAAGAAGATAATTATGAGATTGAAAGGGATAACGGACTTGATAGTGATAGTCTTCTCACGGAATCCTCCTCCAGTTCTATTTCTCATCCACTGAATAAAAACGAGTCGTATGAATCCCTCGCTACAGAGTCATCCCTGGAATCAGACGAGGAGGAAGGAAATGTGGGTTTAAATATACTTTTAAATAACTTCTAAGGTTTGCTCTGTACTATTGTTCGTTCATGTTCGTTCCAGGTCGGGGGGCTTCAGGAAACTCGGAATGAACCGTCTCCAGTGCTACTACTGGATTTTGACTGTTTGTTCAAAATTTCATGTAACTTTGATGCCCAGGACGATGTAAGAATGATACATTAAAAATCTGCTGCCGTTATAGCTCCACCGACGCCTTTGGTTGACAGTACTCGAGCTAACTTACCATCGTTGAATCACCTACTTATCCCTACCGTCGTTTCTCCGTCTTCCCAAACCCGCCTTCCGACAGTTCCCATGCTTCCTGATGAAGTAGCCATCGAGGTGAGATCATCGAAGCTTCGGGGGACTGGCAGTCATGCCCTTTATCTTTTTTCTTACCGAATTTTATTTATGCTACATTCAGTTGAATATTCCTTCTCACGAGTTGTCAACGCCCGAGTGGTTCTTTGTTACGCCCACCTATGCCGAACCCCTGTTGGTGGAGGCACGCTTTACCCGCACTGTCTCCGTGTTTGGTCCGCGTCAAACGAACCTCGAACTACGTTTTACTAATCGCAGCACTGTTCCTCATCACCACCTCAATCGACTGCGACTTGACACTTCCGATGCTCTTCCATCCTCTCGTCCAAATGGTACCTCGGCACGCATTGTTCAGCCCTTCACTGAAGTGGGTGAGTCTTCAACTCCATTCTATCCTACAACTCAGTAGCATCTGGCTCAATCTCAAGTTTCATTCTTGTCATCAGAATCTCTGGAAGTGGGTGCAATCAAAAACGCCTTTATGGGAGTGGACTTTTGCAACTCCACACAGCCTCTTCGCTTTGGTTTGAGGTACCAATTGAACTCGGAGGAACAGGAGCAGGTGCAGGATGGTGTCAAAAAGCAGGCGCTAGATCAGGTGCTCAATGTTGAAATTAAACCGCCTGTGGGAGAGCTTTTTCAGCCTCTCAATATCAATGTCAGTGAATTTGTTTCTAAACAAGGTACGTTTCAATTCCGCACACCATCTACCTTGCTCTAAAGTTGGTTTAAATTTCACACGGTATATAAGACTATTTGGAAGGACAAGTTGTAAGATCATGCACATGTCTGTCCAAAATATGTTATAAGCCTGTAGGAAAAAGAGCACAGTTTTGCGGTAGTGCGCTGGAAAGAACGAGAGCAACAGTGGTTGGATCTTTATGCGTTTCCCATAGCTTCTCCTTTAGTTGATACTGATTGTCATTTGCGCGTTGTACAGCATTTTTATACTCTGTTTTGCTCTAATCCAACTAAAAAGCTACCCTTCGTGGCATGCACGATACGACAAAATCATTTTCCTGCGCCAATGAAAATGTCGATTTGGTACAACTGGCAAAATGCCTGCTTCAGAGGGCAAATTTGAGTCTGATAGGAGCCTATAGCAAGACCATTGTGGACGATTCTGGTGCCGATGTCTTCGCTGTTGCTGATACTTCCACCACAGCAATGCGCATTCTACGATTGGCTGGTGTCACAGCGGGTGGAAATGAGAACGAGGCTACCTGTTGCCTCATTGAGGTGGTTCTGTCCTCTATGTCGAATTCCTCAGGGACTCTTCGAGTTCAAACCGAGGCCATTACTTTAGGCCTTCAGTTGGCTGACGAACTGGCTGATTGTCTATCCAGACTTCAGTAATCTCACTGTGATAGTTTATTTGTCTCTCTGCCACCTTGTGTTTCAGTATCTTGCTTTTTCTTGGCGTGGGCTGTCTTGTCTCACAACTTTTATGTGTTTAATAGAAATACAGTCGATGAAAGGGTGCTACTGTTATATTAGGCTTCGCAGTTGCTTATATGCGGGACGGGGATGAGTACCATGTGTTGGATGGTTATTCTTGAGAAGGTGGGTGCCCGGAGCTGGTATGATGTTAGGACACCACGGTGAGCTTGCAATCAGTTTATTTGCTTAAAAGTTGAGGAGATCTGTAAATCTTTGGGAAAATTGGGGATGTGTGCTGGTAACCTGGGCACGCCGCTGATGCTTGTCAAATCGCAACACCATTTTAATCGGCTTTCTACGGCTAGGAGGAGCAAAGACAACCAAACCCTTAATTTTTAGAAGTTCCCAGTGGAGCTTGATTTGCACTATTAAACCACGAATTAAAGCCACTCGTAAATAAATAAAAAAATGTATGGAAGCCATCAGGCGGATTCACGCACCGCAACTTATGGAAACTGAATAAGTCGCATTGTAAGTTTAGCAATGTTGATTTGTCATCTGTTTAATTGTGTAGAACTTGCAGCATTATTTTGAAACTAATGGATGAGGGTCGAAAGTTGTGTGCATAAGGAGGAGTATACTGTGAAACAAAATTAAAATCTATTAAAGAACAGCTGGGAGCAAAGTTTTTGCTAGACTACACCTGATGTACTTGCGTTACTCTGATTGACTTCCAGAATAAAATTGTAAACCTTTCAGAGGCATATATGTTTTGTGCCAGAGTTATATATTTGTAGTTTGCAGATCAAGTTTCGACCTTATAACCATTAAATGGCATAGATATGAGTCTCCATATTTTGAAACTAGCCGTATCCTATTAGTGCTCTTAAGAATTGTTTCGTTCGTAAGCTGTGCGGTATTCTTTATCTTGCAATTTTTGGGCACATTTTGTGCATCACAGGTCTATGAACTTCTTTCTTCGCAAATCGCAAATTCTTGCTGCTGTCGGACTCGTTGGCGGAGTAGTCGCCTCCTGCTTCGTTCAGCCTTATGTAGAGGTTTTCATTCGATG